CTGGCCTCCCTACCACAGAGACTGGTTGCAAGCCCCAACCCCTAGGAAAAGGGGTGTGAGACTGGCCCAAGCAGTGTCCTGGGTAAGAGGGGCCCTTGCCACAATAGTTGTTTAGAGGGCTGTGTATAAATAGGACAGATGAAAGCAGCTCAGTCCAAATGGCAACTTTTGTGGTAATGAAAAATGATTGAAACCCTAGCCCCGCTGTTTTTAATAGCTCATATTCCACATTTCCCCAGATTGCAATTTTAAAAGGTTGACCTATTAGTTTCAATATAGTGACCACGCAGCTCCAAGTTGCTATGTGTCTATTGAAGGGACCGTACAAAAGGTCTTCTCCCAGATATACAGTGTACAATTTGATACACATAAGATGTTAATTTATCACAGAGCCCAAGGTTCCTACAATAAACTAATTCAAACAGCTGAAGATGCACTCAATCAGAGTGAGTGATGAACACAAATACAGCAGCAAGTGAAGTTCAAAAGGATACAGATTTGTATGATAAATGAGATGCCACGTGGCAATGAAATGTAATGTTGACAAACATATATCTATGCACATTGGGTTAAGAAATAATCAGACCAACTATGAGATAAATGTAAATGACCTGGCACAAGGGCTTCATAAGGGAGCTTGAGATACCAGTGGATGCCTCTTTGAATACAACACTAGACCTCTGAACTGCTGTGTTTATTATTCACATTTAACATGAAAAGCTGCTGATAAATACAGAAAGAAGTTCTAGGCATGTAGCAATAACCTTCTCCAATAAATAAAATTCAGGGATACAAAATTATATAAAAAACACATCCATTCCAAGAACTCACATACGAAACAACATTTACAGATAAAATCCCACCCCAAATCTAAAAAAGTTACTGTCTTCGGTGGTGAGTGCTGAGAATAACTCAACAAATCCAAACCCACAAACTTATGACATTCAGAAATATTATCAGAGAAAGTGACACTGCCCAGTTCTCTTCACTATCAGGTATCCATAAAGGCTAATTAACTACCTTTCAAGACAGAGGAAAGGTATCACCACTTGTTCATGAGGGGTGCTGCAATTCAGTGCTCATCCATAGCCTCAGCCCGCATATACACTAGAGCACAACAAACTTGCCAGCATGAAAGGACATTCAACTTAAGGCCATTTGTGAGGAAGGAGCTTTTAGATGCCACATCACACTGAAAAGTGACTCCAACTCATCTGATGGAGTGGGTTTTACCCACGAAAGCTCATGACATAATGAATTTGTTAGTCTCTAGACCCTGGTCTACACTAGGGCTTTATTTTGAAATAACTCCCTTGAGGTCGAATTTATAAGCGGAGCGTCCACACTCCCAAACCCGGTATTTCAAAATAATGGGCTGCTTATTTTGAAATCTGTACTCCTGCTTTTCTCAGGGGATAGTGCTAATTTTGAAATAGTTATTTCAAAATAGCGTTAGTGTAGATGATCCGGTGCCACTATTTCGAAATAACTACTTTCCAGAGTAATCTGAACAAATTACTCCCCAGTGCTTCCTGGGGCTCTATGTGTAGGTAGCACATCTCATTAACAGAGCCTGCCTTGGACTAATTTCAAGGCTTCCCCATATTGTGGACATGCTATTTCGATTTTGTAAAATTGGGAGTTATTCGGTCAAATTTAGTTATTTCAAAATAGTTTCCTAGTGTAGACATACCCTAAGGTGCCACAGGATTCCTCTTCTAAGTAATTAAGGAGCAGCATTGCTTTCTGAATAATTCTTAAGTGGCAAATGCCCAAAAGTGAGCTGCATAAGAAGTGTGGGAAAATAAGAGGATTCTCAGGACTTCCAAAGAGATGAAGAATGCCCACAGGGAAGAAAGTGGTTTTATTAATGGATGTTATGTATTTAAATAGTAGCTTTCTTTTTCTAGAACCTTGCAAGTTCACATATGTGGGCATTACAATTTTTAATTTCAGTTATTCACCACATCCACTATAAATTCATTTGTGGAGTTTCTGTATATTAGGTGCTACATTATGTAAATATTGAGAAGTTGACAAAATTAAGTCTCTATTATAAAAATGTATTTGAAACTCACAAAATTCAAAATTGCACATCTTTTGAAGCTTTAAAGAAAAATATATTTTATTTCTATAGCTTCTTAACTGCTGATCCCTCATGGAGGTCCAACACTATAATCCAATGGCCTTTCAAAAGTGTATCTGCTGAAACTGGTGGGTTACTTGTGATAATCATGCATTTGTTGACACAAATGTATGCTGTGAAAAGTATTGCTTCATATAGTAATTCCACATTTAAAAATTCATATTAGCAAAATCAATTAGTTTTTTATAACTAAAGGGATTTTATTAGATATTATGAGAAAGAAAAAGCAATTAATATAAGAAAAAAATAAAGGCATAAGGAGAAAAGAAAGGAGCAAGCTCTTGTCCTTCTCTCTCCTTACTCCCCGTGTTTGTTAACATTCTTTTTCTTTCATGTGTTCTTTACTGAAGGTATAATTCTGACACCCATACACTGACTAATATCTTGGTTTCAATGGCAGTACATGCACAATAAAGAGCTAATCAATTTGATTTATGTTGCATAGACTGTTGTGATACTATAGCTTTTTACATTCTTCATCATTAATACTTTGCTCTCCATCATGGATGCCAAAGAACATTTTTGACAATGCATCTCCAGGGTTTAAAACATTTTTTATGAAAAAGTTTGACTAGACAAAACTTTTTGAATCGGCAGTCTTCAATGGCGAATACTTTCAACTACAACTTTTAAATTTCAAGAATTTAGCATTTTGAATTTCTATATTAATGGGAAAATTTCCAGGTGAATTCCAATGACATGAACACGGTGAGGATTTTGCCTTTTATGTGCACAAGTTTGTGCACAGAAACCTTTCCAGATCAAGGCCTATTGTCTGGGGTCAAATATGAGGCATGTGTCCTGAAAAGAGGCTTCTGGTTCCCATAAGCCAGTTACCATCCAAAGCTTGATTGATTAAAGGGCTGCAAAATTTCTAGAAAAGCTACATTTCCTCAGTGGGATTCTTTTTATTGTATATCACATTAAATATATATTTATATGGCACAACCAGTGTATTTATTTAACTTTTGTATTATATTTTAACATTCAATCGATTTCGGTTAGAGGTAGAATTACTGTGTTAAAATATGACCTGATCCCATATGTAGTTTATTTAAATTTCAAAATGAAAAGCTTACTAAGAACAGATAAGATTGATTGCTCTTTCCTTCTTAGCATAATTGTATTTCAGGTGAACATCAATTTACTTTAAAGGACATTTCTAAGTAGCAGACTGCATCATACATAATTCATCAATCACACTTGCCTGTAACATGACTTACTTAAACACCTTTCAATAAAAAAAAAGGAAATTGGATTTTTTATGTTTTGGTTTGTTTTAAAATGGTTTACGAAATATACGCTTATCCTAAGTTAATGCTGAAAAAGTTCATCCTTGGTAATCAGTGCAGTGAATTCTCTCTCTCTGTGTCTCTCTCTATTTGAACAGAAGTGTTATTTCTTTAAACCTCTTTTAAAAGGCAGAGAAACTTTTCAAAATATAAGTAAGGCAAAGAGCACTCCATGCTCACCAAAGGTAAAAGTAGGGTTTTGATGGGGCGGAGGAAAGTATTTATCTGAAAAATGTGATTAGCTTTGCAGCCACATATTTTCTAGTGAGATTGACATAGTTCATTTTTATTTTATATTAAAATTTAAATGTAATTGAAGCAAAGTGGCTTTTGCCTTAGCAAGCTCTTTCAGTGACGGATAATCAAGTTCTTACATATCTGAAAATGATTTCCACTTGGTGATGTATACCATATGAAAGTGAAACTGTGTGGCACTTGACATACTGAGAATTGTTTCATTTGCTGGAATGAAGGCTCTTATGTTATACAAGCTAAAGCTTCCTATCAAATTTAGCTTCAGGGACATGATGATGTCACAACGATTGAGAACTTTAAAAAAGAGAAAGACCAGCACAAATACTTGCTTAAAAGCAAACAAACTCTGGTCATCTGAAGAAATGGGCTGTGCCCACGAAAGCTCGTGATACAATTTACATGTTTTGTTAGTCTATAAAGTGCTACCAGACCATTTGCTTGCTGTTTTCTAAAACCAACTAAAGGTAACCAATACATATAAAAAAGACAAAATGCTTTCTACTTACTTGTAAGCCCATCTGAAATACTGAGTGACCCATAAAATTAGCCAACATTCGAATTAAAGCGGCACCCTGTGGGAGACAACACAGAAGAGGAAGTCACTGAACTTCTTTTTCTAAATCAGTGATATAAAGTAATATGAAATATGCAATTTCACCTATTATCTTATTTATAAAATATATATTTCCTTAATTATTATGTTTAAATGTATAAGAAAAATGTTCCTAAATACATTATCAATAGAATTTTTAAAAAATCCCACCACACACACACACACATTAATGCCATGTACTTGGTTGGAAGGAAAGAAACAAGGAAGCAAGGAGGGGGGAAATCATGCAACTGCAAAACAGAGGAAAACATGATTTGGAAGGAGATTGCTATTATTAATACACATATGTATATAGCAAAAGTCAGTGAATGCTGCAAAGCAATCATTTTCACAGCTGGAGCCATATCTATGTACATATCTCAACTGCAGACATACAAATGAACATTCTGTTCTCTGTTATAGCCATACAATCATGTGAAGTCTCACAGGCTCATGACTTTCAGGCCAGACGGGACCATTATGATCATCTATTCCAGGGATAGTTAATAATTTTTGATGGAGGGGCCATTCCAAGAATTTGGTCAGTGGTCAAGGATCACACATTTTCGTGATATTAATGGAGGAGGTGTACGATCTGGGACAGAGATTGGGATAAGGTCTTGGGGGCTTAGGGTAAGGGATGGCGGGGCTTGGGGTAAGGAATTGGGGTGCAGAAGGGGGTGTCGGTCTGGGAGTTTGGGTGAAAGGAGGGAGTTGTGACCCGGGGCAGAGGACTGAAGTGCAGGAGGGGCTGCAGGAGTTTGGGTTGTGACCTAATGCAGCAGGGGTTGTGACCCAGAGCAGGGGATTAGGGTGCAGGCTCTGGGAAGGGGTATGGGTATAGGATGGGCATGAGAAGGTTTGGGTTACATGGAGTTAGGAGTAGAGCAGGGGGCAGAGGGTTGTGGGGAGGAAGGTTGAGGTACCAGAGGCAGGCTTGGCTAGGAGATGCTTACCTGGGTGATTTCTAACCAGCAGCCCAGCAGGTTCCCCACCTTCCATGCCCTGGCAAGCCACTTAGAGCAGCTGGCTGCAGAGCCATGTGCATCTGTGAACAGCTGTGAGCCAGATAGGACAGGTGGAAGAATAATTTGCACACTGAAGCCAATGGGAGCTGCAAGATGGTGTTGGGGGTGTTGGCTGCTCACAGAGCCTCTCTTCCCCTCCCCCAGGCTCACAGCTGCTCACAAACAAACAGGACTTGCACCTGGCTTTTCTGAGCTGTATGCAGGGGTGGGCAAGGGGCCTGACTGAGGATCCTGCTGCATCCACAGGCTGAATCCAGTGGCTTTCCTGACCGGATTCAGACTGCAGGCTGTATTTTGTACTGCCTTGTCCTACATAGACAAGACAAGAGGATGGAGGAAGGAAGCATTATCATACCCATTTTACAAGTAGCAACTGATTCACCAAAATAATAAGTAACTCACACAAGGTCACACAGAGAATCTATAGCAAAGCCAGGAATGGACTCCAGATCTTCATCCAGCCCCTTAACCACAAGGCCCATACTTCCTCTTGTTACACATCCTCCCCCTACTCATATTGTCTGTAATAATAAGGGTCTTGGATTATTACACTCTCTGAGCTAGTCTAGACTACGCTGAAGTTTTGAAAGAGGATATGCAAATTCCCGTGGAT